TGATTGCCCCTAGCCATTCTGCCTGCCAGCCTGCTTGCCTCCAGTTGCCCCCCCCGCCAGCCTGATCGCCCCCAACTGCCCCCTACTGCTGGCCTGCTCACCCCCACCTGCCCCCCCCTTGCCGGCCTGATCACCCCCAACTGCCCTCACCTCCTGGGCTGATCACCCCTAACCGCCTCCGCCTCGGCCCTGCCACCATGACTTTGTCCGGAAGGATGTCCTGAAGGTCTCCCGAAAGGCCCCTGGTCTAAGTAGCATATTTCCCTTTTATTAGTATAGAATAGAGGCCTGGTGTATGGGTGGGAGCCGGCTAGTCTGCCTTGAAGGGGGTCCCGGATCAGGATGGGGGTTCCTTTGGGGGGCGAGGCTGGCCTGGGTAAGGGGCTGAGGGCCATTTGGGGGTGGTTTGTAGGCCAGCCAAGCCCCAGGCTTTGTCCGGAAGGTCTCCAGAAGGTCTCCTGGTCTAATTAGCATATTACTCTTTTATTAGTATAGATACTTAATAGCCCAGCAGATGTGGCTCAGTGGTTGATCGCTGACCCATGAACCAAGAGGTCACTGGTTCAATTACTGGTCAGGGCACATGGCTGGGTTGCAGGCTCTATCCCCAGTAGGAGGTGTGCAGAAGGCAGTCGATCAAGGATGTTTCTCTCTCATTGATGTTTCTTATCTCTCTATCCCTCTCTCTTCCTCTCTCTCTAAAAATCAATAAAAACACATTTAAAAAATAAAAAAAGATAAACTGAGGCATATTAAAAATGTTGCCCTGGCCGGTGTGGTTCAATGGTATAGCGTTGGACCTCACACCAAAAGGTTTTGGGTTTGATTCCCGGTTAAGGGCATGTGCCTGGTTTGCAGGTTCTTTCCCCAGCCCCAGTAGGAGTGTGTGCAGGAGGCAACCAAATGATGAAATCCTCAGGTGAGGATTAACAACAACAAAAAAGTAAAGAGTTTTTTTTATAAAAAGAAATAAATAGATTCAACTGAAAGGCAATGAAAATCCCCAGCTATTTAAATCTC